TAATATATGAGGAGGGGGAGGGGGTCGGCCCTGTGACAAAAAATTTTAAAAAAAATTGAACATTAAACAACAATTAGTCTAATACTCTAATCTATACGTTTCAAAATTTCAAATAATATTAAATGATCCTTATTACAATTAACAAATTAATTTTGTTATAATAATCTTTAAGTGAAATCAACGCGATGTTACCTATTATATCAATTTAATATAATGATTTATGAATTATAATATACTAATTAATATTAGAACATTAGATGCTATAAAACGTTGAATGTTGATAATTATTATCATGTATGATAATTCCACTCCTTCGTATTTTTTAGTTTTTTGCTGCATTAAATTATCTAAAAAACCGTTTGAGAAATGCAATGACAACCTAACACTTTTAGAGTCCTTCAGTCCTTCACGTTGATGGTGATTGAAAAATAAATTCTTTATAGTTCAGGTACCTATGAATATAAATAAAGTGAGTGAAAATTCCAAATTATTTTCTAAATTTCTCTTACTTATGAGTAATATAAGTTATTAAATATTAATTAAATTAAATAGTTATTAAAGTATACTTTATGATAGTATGTATAAGTACCTACATACTATATGTATATTTTTTATACCTCTAATATAATAAATATTAAATTAAAATATTTAAACATAAATAATTTTATATTATTTGATAGATGAAAGCATATATTTTTTCATGTTTGTGTCTGTAGGTTAGTCCCCGAAACAGTCAATAACCGATGAGCTTATTGGGCCGGAAAAATAAGTTTTTCAAACCCGAAATTAGGTCTCATTCCACCCTTGTGTGTTGTGTGTACTGGTACTTTATTTACTACTAATATGATTTTTGGTATTATAATTTTCTCAGAAATATTTAACAATATTAAAATATGTACATACCATAATAATAATATTAATATATTATATTCGCATTATATTTTAGATATAAGAGTTTTTAGTTTACTATAATATCCCGATGGCCGATGACCTACCATTTAGCTACCTTATGAATTCAAATTATTTAGCGTTTTACTTAATATAATATAGGCAGTATTGTAAAGCGCATTATTTAGGCTTTATTAAAAATCTATTGCGATTTATCTGATATTTATAAATAATTATTAAATATAATAAATTATATATAATAATACTTTAGACTTAAAATACGTCTATACGTACATATAGAATATAGATAATAATAATTAAAAATAAATATCAAATATACTAAGTGTGCTTTATTATTTGTTGGTATAAAAATTGCCCAATATTTATTAATAACACCGATTAGTTATTACTTATTACGCTTAATGATTTCGTTACAATACTCAACAGAAGTAATTGAATAGGTATAAAAGATTAATTATATAAATCTATCGAAATCAAAATTCTTTTTAAAGTAGGTTATACCTTATAATTTAACTTCACCCAAGTGTATACAGTGTGTTATTTGAAACTTTACCAATTTAAATTTAAAAATATGGAACTTCCATTATTCTATGATTTTAAATGAATTGAATGAATCGCATAAGGCGGGACACTCAGTATAGGTTTAATTAATAATCATGCATGTTGTTATTCACGAATTGTTATAACACTAAAGGTCATACTGCAGTGTACAGGTACTGTATACTCTATAATATTATAGATACACATCGTTATAATAATATCACGTATACGCCATACGGTATTCATAAAGATTTTAAAAAATACATCATATAGAGGACACCCTCAGCCAGAGGCGGTTTGAATGTATTATACTTAATGGTGCAAGACAATATATAGACACCCCCCCCCCACCACCATCATAATATAAATTACAAATAAATATTTTTTAATAAGTTTATAGTTTATAATTATAAGGCCC